CAAAGCGGAAGTTTCAGCAGCCATTACTCCAGTCTTCAGTGTCGCATGATCCATCAGAAACCAGTCTAATATGCTGATTTGCTGCTCAAGAAACATTTCTGATTATCAATGTTAAAAACAGTTGTGCTGCTTCATTTGCCCATAAAGATGGAAAAAGAAGCCAAAAATGCAGTTTGTATCATTATGTTAGATGGACTACTAAAGCACCAGTGCAATTTGTTATTTATTTCAGATGGGAATTAATTAATGAACTCAGCAGCAATTTTCCACAGCAATAACTCGGTCCAGTGACAGCACTTATGATGTGTTTAATTGAATAGGCAAGTTCCCTTTGGGTTGTGGTCATTGCTCTGCTAGTTGAAAGATAAATCATTGTCCATTGACCCCATGCTTGAATACTTTAATGAGTTCTTCCCTTGAGGTGAAGCTGGACACCATGCTGTTCTTTGAGTGTGTTATTGAAACATGGATCTCTGGCTTACTGGTGGGCATTGGGCGGGAGAATCTCTTCGATACCCTCCCTAGAGGAAAACCAAAGGACAGATGCTCATTTGTTGTGTTTGCATAATTAACAACCTCAGTGAAAACCATTTTTCCCTCAACATCATCTCGTAATTACACAATCTGTTGGCCGAACCACATAACCACGGTAAATCAGGAGAAATAAGGAAAGAAAAATCCACTCAATGTTTCATTCCAAGGATATTTCATCAAAATGGATGAAGTCTGATATTCACTCCAAGTAGTGTGTCAAGATTATCAGAAGCCTTCAGGGGTTTGTGCACATCAGATATTATTTCCTTCAACAGAAAGAGAAAAAAGTCTACCATTTCATATCATGCCAACAGTATCTCTGATTTCACAAGTAGCACTGAGGAGGTGACACATTATAGCATCAGAATGGCACTATCTTCAGATCATTCAAACCTTATTCTAATGGAGCCAGAGACAGTTCTTTCCTATAGATTTCAACAGCTGTGTATGGCTGAATATGAAAAAAAAATAATAATTATCAAAGAAAAAAAAAAAAGTCAAACAAACATGTTCTGGAAAGCTTGCATGAAATTACTTCAAGGTCAAGGTGTTTCCTCAGTTCTGTGTGCATATCACATCAATTTACACCTCCATACACAAACACATTCTTTCTTTAAAGAGCACTTTCAGCTTATTGGAAAGAATGCTTAATACTCATGGAGGCCAGAAAAACAAAAACTTGCCTAATCATCTCTCTTACAAAAATTACTCCAAAGAAAATTATCAATGGAGTTTGTGCTTGACTGCACAGATTTGTTATAGAGATACTTTATTGCTAATTGAACATCTCGGTTACGGATGTAACCCTCGTTCCCTGAAGGAGGGAACGGAGACGTCATGTTGGTAATGACCGACGAATTGGGATCTCGCTTAGAGAGACCAATCTACTTTGAGTGTAAACTAAACAAGCCAATGCACATTGGCATGCGATGATTGCATCCAGCTGCCACTGATCGCAGCGTGAGTATAACTAGGCAAAATTATTATCAAAGAAAAAAAAAAAGTCAAACAAACATGTTCTGGAAAGCTTGCATGAAATTACTTCAAGGTCAAGGTGTTTCCTCAGTTCTGTGTGCATATCACATCAATTTACACTTCCATACACAAACACATTCTTTCTTTAAAGAGCACTTTCAGCTTATTGGAAAGAATGCTTAATACTCATGGAGGCCAGAAAAACAAAAACTTGCCTAATCATCTCTCTTACAAAAATTACTCCAAAGAAAATTATCAATGGAGTTTGTGCTTGACTGCACAGATTTGTTATAGAGATACTTTATTGCTAATTGAACATCTCGGTTACGGATGTAACCCTCGTTCCCTGAAGGAGGGAACGGAGACGTCATGTTGGTAATGACCGACGAATTGGGATCTCGCTTAGAGAGACCAATCTACTTTGAGTGTAAACTAAACAAGCCAATGCACATTGGCATGCGATGATTGCATCCAGCTGCCACTGATCGCAGCGTGAGTATAACTAGGCAGCAGGTGCAACGCATATTCAGCTTTTTGCTGAGGAGCCAAGCCGGTGACCCGGGCCGATCAGCGGTGGAACAACAGCTGCGGCGACGGGCCGTGACTTCTCCGTTCCGGAGGGTTACATACATAATCGAGACGTTCCCTTTCAGTCGGTCACTCTCGATGTCACATCGGTAATGACCGACGAATTTGGATCCCTACCAAAACGCCATGGATGCTGCCCCTTCCAGTGTCCTGTGCGAGCCTCCTGCGCCCCCTTTTCAGCGTAGGCCAGGGATCGCAACAAGAAAACCAGTCACTGTTGTCGTAGCACTACCCACTCAGAGAGATTGGATAACACTGGGAAAACTGGAACAAGAATGTTGTGGAAGCCCCATCCTTCCCGAAGGAGGTTTCGGAAGCACTTACACATATGAACAACCGTTTAGGTGCATATGGTAGATTAGAGGTTATTATAACCCTCTTGGAAATTGCAGAAGTCTGCCGGGGATACACAGGCTCTGAGGCTATACCGTGGACTTTACACATATGGAATCCACTTAGGTCTCTACATATGGAACCCCCAGCCCGCTACCGGTTCTCACGGATTCATCGAGTGAGGGCCTGGTGCCGGACGTTCCGCCACGTCTGGCTGCCAAGGGGATAGAGGAGCTTGACATGGTCTGCAGTATGGACACTCTGGAGCAATTTTAACAAGCTGACACTAAACCGGGGCCTCTCAGTGTCTCTACCTGTTTGAGGTGAGAACACATGAGGATACCGGCTCCACACGAAGGCTATAGATTCTAGCGAACGTGTTGGGGGTCGCCCAGCCTGCAGCTCTACAAATATCTGTCAGCGAGGCGAGACGAGCCAGTGCCCAGCAGGATTGAACACTTCTAGTAGAGTGAGCTGGGCAGCGGGAAGGGCACACCCTATGCCTGATAAGCCAGAGTGATGGCATCCACTATCCAGTGGGCCATCCTCTGCTTAGAGAGCTGAGTGCCAGTGCATCCGTATCGAGTGTTCCCTCGGTCAGGGAGTAAAACAACTGGTAGTGAGAGGCTGGACCGTCTGGGGATACGAATACGGATAAGAAACGGATATGTTTTCTACGTCGTTTACGCTTTGATTTGAATGAAACAACGTATCCACGTGATGCAGCTGACATAGAATAGCATACCCTGTTTACGTTCAGTGGATACTCTCCAAAATGGCACCAGGGTGACACGGAGGAGACAAATTGTTGAATAAAGTCGTTATTTTTGTTTTCTTTGCATAATTATTTGCAGAATTTTCATTTTTGGGTGAACTATCCCTTTAATGCAAATGTAAACGAAGACGATGACAAAAATATTCGTTAATGAACATTTTTTCTGTGACTAAGACGAGACGTTGTTGAGCTAAAACTAATATCTGATGATAAAAGCTATGACGAAATTTATGCCGCGTCTTCGTTAACAAAACGAGACGGGACTATAATGTTATTTGAGGACTTACGGACATTCAAAATACATCCTATAGGCTACTGTGTTGTCCTTCAAAATGTGCATCCCTGTTATTGGATTGCAATCGGATAAGGGGCGTTTGCATATCTAGTCTCAGTATGGCAGCCGCAGTGGATGGATAGGCTACCAAAATGCGAACTAGCGATCTGAAACAATGGCCTCAGCACCCGAAGGGGTAGGGATAAGGTGACCAGACGGCCCGTTTTCCCAGGAGTCACAATTCGTTGTCGATTAACTTAAAGTTAAAGTGAAGGTGGGATAGGCGGAATCGCACTGATAGAAGTGCTCTCTCTCGCGCACGCTCCACTTCTTCAGTTCTCATATTCAGCGCACGATCAGTTCTCAGTGCTCAAATACACAGCAGTCCAAATGTCTATTGTGTAGAGTATCTCACGTAAATACAGTCGGTTATGGATTAAGTGAACGTAAACAGGTGGGTGAAACTGAACTTGTGTCAGTATTACATGCATGCCTTCCGTCTTAAAGGGACAGCATTCCTAATTAAGTACCTATCTGTGTCATTAATGTTAACCAAGAAAATATGTTAAATAAATATGTTAAGTAAACATACTGTATCTGAAAAATTAGTTTAATTTGTATTTCTTTCATATTTGTCTTATTGTCTTATTCTGCTTCTTTTTCAAAAAATTATAAATTATATATATTATATATGAACAACTATAATTTTTATAAGTTGCTCCCTTTTCACTACTGTTAAAGGGATAGTTCACCCAAAAATGAAAATTATCATAATTTATTCAATTTTTTCCATATTCAATCCTTGATTCAAATTTCTCATAAGCTTAATTGATTTGGTCTAAAGAGAGAATTAATGACTATTTTAGTTTGAAGACTACATATAAAATAGCTACCAAAATAAATGTTGGTAACTGCAGTTTGACTAAAAGAAATTACTAAAAGTAAAGACTAAAAGTTGACAAAAATGCATTGACTTTTCATCGACTAAAACTAGACTAAAACTATGAAAGACTCAAATGACTAAAATGTGACTAAGACTATTAAGCATTTTCATCTCAAGATAAAGACTAAGACTAAATAAAAAATGCCTCTCAAAATTAACACCGATATTGTTACGGTTGCGTGCTATTAAAAGCACACAATGCTGGAGAAATCCAAATAAAGTCTTTAATGATAAATCCACAGAAGTAATCCAAGAGTAAAGGGTAGCAACACATCGACACAACAACAAATAGCAGACAAAGAACCAGGGGAGAACACAGGACTTAAGTACTAATAAACAAATGAGATAATAAATAAACACAGGTGGAACCAAATTAATTAATCAGGGCAACTCAGGAAAACTAGGTCAAATGAAGACTAAGGCAGGAGAACAGGAACACAAACAAAAGTTCATAACTGTGACAGTTCGCCCCCTCCCGAAATGGCGCGTCATTGCGCCGACAAAAGTAGTCCAACAGAGGAGGGAGGGTGGGGGTTCAGGAGGCGGGCGTGGGGCAGGCAATGGAAAAGGAGCATAGTTCATAGGGCCAGGGTGGAGTAGGGAGGAGTAAGGGAGTAGACCGGCGCAGGAGGAACCAGATGGAGCTCCAGAGGCCAGGAGGAGCCATGGTGGAGATAGGGCCGACAACACCGGGGGCCGACTGACGGAGACTGAGCTGGTGGAAGAGGAGCCCAGGATAGAGCCGAGCAGACGGAGAGCCAGGGTGACACAGAGGATCCGGAGGGCCATGGCGGAGCTGAAGGCTCAGGCGACCGAGGCAGAGGTGGGGCTCCGGAAGACTGCGGTGGAGCTGGAGCGACTGAGGATGGAAGCGGACCCGGAGGGAAGGAGGAGCCTGACAGAGCCAGAGGAGTGGATTCCCAAGGCGGCGGATGGTTGACAACTGACCAAAGCGGAGCCGGAGGGATGAGGGTGCCGGGTGGAGCTTGTGGGATGATGGGCCATGGTGGAGATGAGGGAGCTAGGAGCCAAGGCGGAGCCGATGGGTCGAAAGACTGAGGTGGAGTCCAGGGCTCGGAGGCTGGAGGCGGAGACAGGGGATCCTCACGCCAAGGCGGAGCTGGAGACTGGAAGTCCCGAGGCGGATCAGAGCGCCCAGATGGCGCTGAATGAGGGTGAGCTGAGGTACTGACAGGCACCAACGGAGATGGGGCTGAGGAACTGACTGGTTTTTGAAGAGGAGGCGGAAGAGGGAGGCTGGGAGGGAACACCGGAGAACAGGAGCTGGGCGGAACCAGCGGAGACGCGGTAGAACTGGGTAATACCTCCCCAAACCAGTCTATTAAGTCCATTTGGAAAATATCCATTAGTTCCTCATAATACATCCCAGAGGCCAGCTGAAGCTCACCCTCAGCGGCGGGAGTGTGGGTGGGGCTTCCCTCCAAGCCCTCGATTTCCACCAGTACTCCCTTGGGGACGGGCGATGTTATCGGCTCACGCACCTGGTTAGACCGGTCTTGAGGCCCAGGCTCTGGGGCAACGATAGGCTCAGTAGCGGGTATGCTCTCTGGCTCACGTGTCGCGGCAGGCTTATGCTCTCTGTCTATGGTGGGCTCAGGCATTTGCTCCATGCAGTGGGATGACGGCTGGCTGGTCTCTGGTTCGGGCGGAGCCGGAGGGATGAGGGCGCCGGGTGGAGCTTGTGGGATGATGGGCCATGGTGGAAATGAGGGAGCTAGGAGCCAAGGCGGAGCCGATGGGTCGAAAGACTGAGGTGGAGTCCAGGGCTCGGAGGCTGGAGGCGGAGACAGGGGATCATCACGCCAAGGCGGAGCTGGAGACTGGAAGTCCCGAGGCGGATCAGAGCGCCCAGATGGCGCTGAATGAGGGTGAGCTGAGGTACTGACAGGCACCAACGGAGATGGGGCTGAGGAACTGACTGGTTTTTGAAGAGGAGGCGGAAGAGGGAGGCTGGGAGGGAACACCGGAGAACAGGAGCTGGGCGGAACCAGCGGAGACGCGGTAGAACTGGGTAATACCTCCCCAAACCAGTCTATTAAGTCCATTTGGAAAATATCCATTAGTTCCTCATAATACATCCCAGAGGCCAGCTGAAGCTCACCCTCAGCGGCGGGAGTGTGGGTGGGGCTTCCCTCCAAGCCCTCGATTTCCACCAGTACTCCCTTGGGGACGGGCGATGTTATCGGCTCACGCACCTGGTTAGACCGGTCTTGAGGCCCAGGCTCTGGGGCAACGATAGGCTCAGTAGCGGGTATGCTCTCTGGCTCACGTGTCGCGGCAGGCTTATGCTCTCTGTCTATGGTGGGCTCAGGCATTTGCTCCATGCAGTGGGATGACGGCTGGCTGGTCTCTGGTTCGGGAGTGGGGCTGGAGATATCCTCCTCAGTGGGGCAGAAATAAACTATGTGCATGCAGTGTCGTGGTCATAGTTAAGTCATGAAGTTACCAAAAAGGTGATTAAAGCACCCACTCCAGGAAAGCGGCAAAATCCTCCTTGGGACCGTTCGCTGGCAGGCGAAAAAGTCCCTGGTATGGTCCTCCAGCGAACGGTCCTGTTGCTCCAGGCAGAGGAGTAGAACAGCTGGAATATCCATTACCGGAAGCACTCAGACGCGCACTCCACTTCACTTCAGCGCCAGGCGCGAGTCAAGAGAGCGCGGAAACGGTACTGTGCTCACAGCGCGTGCTCTTCAATTGCAGGCACAAAGGCGCCGGCGGGTGCTGTAGCCTGTATCCTTTCATATCAAAGTGCGAAATAAACTACGCGCATGCAGTGTCGTGGTCATAGTTGAGTCATGAAAGCGGCAAAATCCTCCTTGGGACCGTTCGCTGGCAGGCGAAAAAGTCCCTGGTATGGTCCTCCAGCGAACAGTCCTGTTGCTCCAGGCAGAGGAGTAGAACAGCTGGAATATCCATTCCGGGATCCATTCAGACGCGCACTCCACTTCACTCCAGCGCCAGGCGCGAGTCAAGAGAGCGTGGAAACGGTACTGTGCTCACAGCGCGTGCTCTTCAATTGCAGGCACAAAGGCGCCGGCGGGTGCTGTAGCCTGTATCCTTTCATATCAAAGTGCGAAATAAACTACGCGCATGCAGTGTCGTGGTCATAGTTGAGTCATGAAAGCGGCAAAATCCTCCTTGGGACCGTTCGCTGGCAGGCGAAAAAGTCCCTGGTATGGTCCTCCAGCGAACAGTCCTGTTGCTCCAGGCAGAGGAGTAGAACAGCTGGAATATCCATTCCGGGAGAGAGGAGAAACAAAAACAAAAGAGAAAGAAAAACACCGCTATATTGATACTCAATTTGAGGGTCTGCTATTCTGTTATGGTTGGGTGCTATTAAAAGCGCACGACGCGGGAGAAATCCAAATAAATTCTTTAATGATAAATCCACAGAAGTAATCCAAGAGTAAAGGGTAGCAACACATCGACACAACAACAGATAGCAGACAAAGAACCAGAGGAGAACACAGGACTTAAGTACTAATAAACAAATTAGATAATTAATAAACACAGGTGGAACCAAATTAACTAATCAGGGCAACTCAGGTAAACTAGGTCAAAGGAAGACTAAGGCCGGAGAACAGGAACTCAAACAAAAGTCCATAACTGTTCAGACACGCACTCCACTTCACTTCAGCGCCAGGCGCGAGTCAAGAGAGCGCGGAAACAGTACTGTGCTCGCAGCGCGTGCTCTTCAATTGCAAGCACAAAGGCGCCGGCGGGTGCTGTAGCCTATATCCTTTCATATCAAAGCGCGAAATAAACTATGTGCATGCAGTGTCGTGGTCATAGTTGTCATGAAGTTACCAAAAAGGTGATTAAAGCACCCACTCCACGGAAGCGGCAAAATTCTCCTGTTGCTCCAGGCAGAGGAGTAGAACAGCTGGAATATTAAATATAAAAACAAAAGAGAAAGAAAAACGCTGCTACATTGATACTTAATTTGAGGGTCTGCTATTCTGTTACAATTGGGTGCTATTAAAACAAAGCTGATTAAAGCTGCCTTAAAACTGTGCATGCATGTAATATATTTTATATGAGTCACATTTAAGAACATGTCTCTGAAATAGTTTTCAAAACTGTCCTGGAGCATCCCAGCACTCCCTCATCTAACACAGCTGATTCAACTCGTCAGCTCATTAATAGAGACTTTAAGACCTGAAGTGGGTCAGAAAAGGTAAAAACGTGCCCCCTCAGATTTTTGAGCCAAGTGGATTTTGAATGCAGCTTTCAAAAGACAAAAAAATAGCCGATTAATATTTTCTATATTTAATACAATGATTAGAACGTTCAGTGCGTCATATCATCAGCTGCTAAATTAAAATCTGCGTTCACTGGCTGGCGCTGAGCCAGATACAGATGCGTTTTTACAGCTTACTGCGCATTAACCAATCACACACAATGCTGTTGAGCTTATGAATGCAATGACCAATCTGATGAGGTATTCAGATGAGTCATCGCTAAAATGCCAGTGTTTTCTTCACTCGCTCGCTGACTGAATTCCTCTTTCTGGCGAATTCTCTAGTCAGAAACAGCAAAGTGCAAATGTGTGTTCGAATCTGTAAGATATTAATTTCATAGTGTAAACAGCCTCAGTGATTTTAATGGGAGTTTTTGAGAGTGCTTGAACTAGACTGTCAGTGAAAATGTTCTTTGATAATGAAATGTTCTTTGCTCTTCTTCTGTACAATGAAAGTGTAGTAGCCTAACTTGCAATGTTTTTATTCACAAATTCACATTAAATATAAACTCAGTCACTGCTATAGCATGACATCCATATCTGTTAGTGAAGTGACGTGACATGTGGCCAAGTATGGTTACCCATACTAGGAATTAGTGCTCTGCGTTTAACCCATCCTAAGTGCACACACACAGCAGTGAACACACACACACACCGTGAACACACACCCGGAGCATTGGGCAGCCATTTATGCTGCGGCGCTCGGGGAGCAGTTGAGTGTTCGGTGCCTTGCTCAAGGGCACCTCAGTCGTGGTAATGAAGGTGGCTGTACATTCACTCCCCCCACCTACAATTCCTGGCGGACTTGAGACTCGAATTCGCAACCTTTGGGTTACGAGTCCGACTCTCTAACCATTAGGCCACGACTTCCCCAGTTAATTGTTAATTAAGTAAACAGACAGGGTTTTTATGCATAGATTACATTATTAGGTTACTTTGACCCATCGCCCACTATAGAGCAACATAATCTATAAGGTGAGAATCAAGATATTTCATGATATAGTTAATGCGTTTGGGGATGTTTGGAATAAAAAGGAAAAAATAAATAAAACATAAGTGCTGTTGTGGCTGCTGTGTGTCACTTGACGACCCCCAACCAACCCCCACCGCCCCCAACTCGTGCCCGCTCAAAAATAATGAGTGCATGACGCACCTGATGCCTATTAATCAAAGGACAAAGAAAAAAAGAGGAAAAAATAACTTTTGTAGCTTTAAGGATTCATCTATATTTCGTTTAGAATTTAGTGTTTGACTACTTAAATTTCTGTATATTTCTGCTGAAGTGCACAGGCAAATATGACATTTATTATAATGGGTTTATGTGAACATTATTTTAAGTTCTTCTTAAATTAGAAGTTATTTTTTAATGTCTAATAAATGTTAAAATTGATATCTCTTAATTACACTGTAATGTTGAATGGCTATAGTCAATGGTTAAATATGGGGGGAGAGGAGGGGGGGGGGCATTTCTATAGAGAAATCAGTATTGGTATCATTGATACTGGCCTTAAAGGGATAGTTCACCCAAAAATGAAAATTTGATGTTTATCTGCTTACCCCCAGGGCATCCAAGATGTAGGTGACTTTGTTTCTTCAGTAGAACACATTTGATGATTTTTAAGTCCAACCGTTGCAGTCTATCAGTCGTATAATGGATGGCAATGGTAACAAAGTCTATGAGTGTAAAAAAAACATGCACAGACAAATCCAAATTAAATCCTGCGGCTCGTGATGACACATTGATATTCTAAGACACAAACCGAACAGTATTTATATCATTTTTTACCTCTAATACACCACTATGTGCAACTGCTTTGAGCACGTGCACGGCTTCTGGTGCGTGAGATGTGTACGCACTCTGGCGTAGTTTACGTCAATGGGTGTGTTGTTGCGGGAGGAGCAAACGACAGACACCGTTTATTAACAGAAAATAAACAAAGTCTCCAGCATTAATTGGCGATTGGAAAGTTTCCAGAACCAGGCTCTAAGGGACACTGAAACTATTATAAGGCCCTTTAGTACTGCTATTGAAAACCTTTGGACTGAACTTAATGCTCAAACTCAGCAAGGGAATGCTGTTTCTCAGGACTTGGCTTCACTGAAGTCCAGCATGCACAATGCCCAAGTGATTGCCATCCATTCCTCCATCCATTATCATCTTCCTCTCAAATGTCCCCTGTGACTACTGCACATGATGTTTCAAGGGAATCGTATCACTTACAGTCCACCATGCAGCCAGGGAGCTCAAGGAGGCTTTTACCTGGAGACATTAATCGAAGATATGTGGGAAATAGTCCTATTAAGCTAAAATTCCCTTCATTTGGTCGGAAAAAGGCTGACCCATATCCCTTAACTTACTCTGAAAAGTGCCATGATTTTCTAGCCTTGGTCTTTCTATCAAATGAAGAACTGATGACCAGCCTTCAAAATGTGCTGCATGGGACTGCCCGAGGTTGTTGGGATGTAGCCCGAGGATCCATTCATACCTGGACAGAGTTTGAGACTAGCTTTCTTTCAGCATTTTTTTCTGAAGATTATGGGGATGAATTGGGATAAAGAGTTTGTAATCGAATACAAGTAAACCATTTAAGTATAAGAGACTTTGCATATATGTATCATTCTCTTTGCATATGATGGAAGCCTGAAATTGATGAGGAAGAGGTAATCAAACTCATCTTGAAAAACATCAGCTTCGACGTAGATTTTCTTCTGTGGATGAACTGGTTAATCTAGGAAAACAATTAGAAAAAGATGAAGAAAATCAACAACAATATGAACAACGTAAATGTTTCACGAGCAAAGTAGCTTTAAATGTAGATATCCAGAGTCAGCAAATTTCAGTTAAACCAGAAGAAGATAGAACTCAACAACTGTTCTGTTGGAAATGCAAAGGATCACACTCACAATCACATGCCAGCACCCAAATGCTCAAAAGAATAAAGAATTCTCGAAAGGTCCAAATGCTGCTGCTAGTGATGCACGTGTTCCTGATTACCAAAAAATGTATAGAACCGCTATATTGGCCACTGGTAATTCCTAGTCCTCACCAGCTAGTATTAATTAGTAGTATAAGGATTAGTTCCACTAACGTTACACCAATGGAAAGGAACTGCTATTGTGGATACAGGATCTTCTTTTACACTTCTCTATGAAAAACTTTGGAAAAATGTAAAAAATCCAGAGGAAGAATTGAAAGTTTGGAAAGAATGACTTGTACTTGACAGACGGTGAAGCAAAGCAACCACTTGGGTGAATTGATAGTTCCAGCAGCACAGTCGTCACTGGGTGTTGTCTGATAAAATGTTTGCTTTTTCCGCTGTTCAATTCAATTCAGTTCAAATGTATTTGTTTTAT